GCTGTGGTCTGTAGGTTTAAACTGAGTCCCAGCGAGTGAAGGGAAAATGCATGGCTGACTTGCGTTCACCTAATGTTTTTATCGGTTGCAGAATTTTCCGTCACGTACTCTTTTCCTGCTTCCTAGCCCTCGCCTCCCTTCTCTGTGCTGTCTTTGGCATTTCCTATTGCAAGTTACATGTGAAATAAGCTGTTCACATACTGCTCTCACCATAGCTTACATCCTCTTTTCCAGGCAGCTCTACCTGGAAGAACGTCACAAGGGCAGGGGGACAACCTTGGCCCCATGTGGGAGCGAAATCACACTGCACTGTGACAGAGAAGCTGCCCTAGTTGTTGCCAGGGCGGCTCCACATATGTCTTCCGAGGTGAAATAAGGAATTGTTTCTTTTTTTAGGGAAACTGAAACACATGTCAGTGTCTTTTGCATTCATCAGGATGCATGCAAAACTCCCTAGTTTCTGTCACTCACCGTCCGCAGATGTCAGTGCCTTTGATTTCCTGCCCACACAAATGCCAGTTTGGGCTGCCGGGCTCCTCTGAGCATGTGTGGCAACGACTGCTTTGTGTGGCTCTGCCGTGTTGGGGTCCTTGGCTCCAAGCAGTGTGCGGAGTCCACTGTCAGCTCCGGGATGGGGCCTGCCACCCGCTGAACAAACGCCCTGCTGCGGCTCTGATACTTCACGGTAAATGCCGTATTCAGGAAAGGGGCTGTGGAGCCCCCAGTCAACACTGACTGCAGGGAAACAGTCACAGAAGGCTCCGCACTTACCACTCCCTGTAAGAGGCGCCGGGGAATGCAGGCGCCCCGGCCCCGGGAGGCCCGAGGTCAGCGCACCCCGAGGCTGTCTCCCCCGCAGCCTCCTGAAATGGAAAAGGAAAGCATTGTTGTAGTTAGTAGGACAGACCTATTCCAGCTTTGTTTTTTTTTGTTTTTTTTTTGCCTAAGCCAAATCATGCTAGAATTTCCATTTATTTGTGAGTTACAGAGCTTGTAATTAGTCCAGTGATAGAATAATGCGAAACATCACCTGGGTTACTTGGAATTTAATGCACATTTTGTTGTGCCACTTTCCTGTCCCTGAAGCCGCATCCTCCAGCCAGGAGGGAAGCACCACGTTTCCTTCTGCAATCCCAGAGCCCCCGTTCCCAGCAGTGGCGTGCGGGCTGGCGTGGACCCCACAGCTGCCATGGGAGCAGGAGGAGGAAGCCGGGGTAGTTTCCCTTGTGGCTTCCCGTTCCTAGGACCTCGGAAAGGGAGCCGAGAGCACCATGAGAGTCCGTGATGACAGAGACACAGGGACGCTGCTCTCGGGAGACAAACGTTCTGTGACTCAGTGCCCAGAGAAACTGGGTCAGGTGCCCAGCGCCGGAGGCCTTTGGAAAGTGGGTACCACACGACCTCTTCCATTTAAGCGGAGGAAGGGCCACCGGTCCCTCTGGCTTCTCACCAGTGACCTGGAGAGAGCCACCTGGGAGGTCACCTGTTAGACAACCTTACTTGTCCCCTACACGTCTCTCATAATGCTTGGTGGATCTTGGGGCAATTCGTTCTGCTCCTTTCTTTCTAAGATCACTGCGAGTGTCCCAGTAATCGGCTGTATTTCATGTGTGTGTTTCTTTAGCACCTGACACGGCCTGTGGCACATAGCGGGTGTCACTGTTGGTGAAGGTGTTAAGGAATCAATAACCTAGACACTTTCCTAGCAGTATGTGGTCGGGCCTAGATTTCTGAAGAATTAAAGAGCCTCTGAGCTTCTCCCTCCACTGTGGCACTTTGGCTGCTCCTGTAGATGGTACGACTCACAGTCGTTCATGGCAAAGTTATGTCTTCACGCAGGAAGGAAGAACAGTTGACTTTAGTTTATTCTGTGTGAGCTAAGTGGGTTAATGTGTACTGTTTGTTCAACCTCATGGGATATATCCCTACCCTCATTTCTGCCTTCTCGGAGTCCTAGTTTCTACAATACATGTATTAGAACTAACGTAAAGTAAGTCTGAGAAAAGTAAAATTGATTTTGTATTTTTATAACTGAGTTTTTGATTGTGCATATTATCAATGGCCAATGCTTTGGCCTGGCAGCAGAATACAGCCGGAAAACTGAGAATTCAACTTGAGCAGTTTGATCAGATGTCTTCAAACAGCAGATGTCCCAAGAGCTAGTCACATTTCTTACAAAAACAGTCACACCATAACCAGCAATGCCAATGAAAAGAAATAGATCTTTTGAAGTATTATTGTGTAATATCTTGAATCTACGCAGCTAGGGTGATTTTTTTTTTCTTTTTTGAAATGAAGAGGTGTCTTAAATGTTTGTTTTGACCATCTCTCCAAAAATGGGATGGCTCTTACTATGGCATTTTGTCAAGACAAAGACCAGAGCGTTCGTTCTATGACCAGCGTGTGTGTGCTGGACTTCTCCCGCTCCGCAGTCTGGAGGGCCTGGACTATGTAATGTGACAACAGTACTAGAAATAGGAGCAGAGTGTCTTGTGTTTATATGGGCTCAGTTCACCGCCTTTATATGTTGACAAGAACTACACAGTGGTGTAAGGTGTCAGGAAGCCTTCATGGAAGAGTTATTCTTCCTGGGTCTCTGGAATAATTGGACTCTGGAAATTGGAAAGAGGCAGGGAAAGAATTTTAGATAGAGGTTAACTGAAGGCCTGGAAATAGTGAAGACCAGGGCTCATTCGAGGAAAAGTAATTAATCCAATATGCTATCGGTGTAGGAAGGACACCCAGAGGGGAGTAATGGGACTTACACCCTGAAGGTTTTGCTGGGGGCATTTCGAGTTCCAGAAGGAGAGATGTGCATGTCATGGGAAATGACACGTCCAAGTCAGTGTTGGAGAAGGTGATGGATGGAAGAGAAGAGGCTGGAAAGGGGGAAAACAACTCCCAAGAGTTGCCAAGCAATGGCAGCCTCTGTTGGGGGTGGAGGCATAGGCAGCAAGGACCGTGATGAGTCAGCTGCCCACACTGGCTGTGGAAGGGGACTTGGGGGGAGTGAGCGGGGGAGAAAAATACCTGATGACGACAACCACCACGATGAGGACACTGGACTCCCTCCCTGAGCTTCTGTTACAAGACGACCTGCGAAGCCTTGGAGGAAGCTTCGGGCGGAGCTAGCTGGGATTCTGTCCCATGGAAACTCAAGAATAACATTGTTTAAATCAGACCCACATGCTGCCCTGCCCTTGCTGTGTGCCCTTCGGCGGAACAAGCCTGGCTGAGGACACCCCGGGCCCTTCGGTGCGGTTGTGGGTGGCTGACGGTTCAGTCCTCGCTCTGCAGGCGACCTGGGTGACACATTGTCCTGGTTATCTCTCTGCTCTCCGTAGGCGATCCCCGCAGCGTCGTCGGCTGGGTCTCCCGCTGAGGAGGCCCTGGCTCTGTGGCAGGCTCGAGTGACTTAGGAACTGCTTCTGGTCAGTGGGGGGCAGTGTCACGTCACGGGAGGAGCCCAGAGTGGCATCCTGGACTTGGTGCAGCCCATCCCTGGACCACCCTGTCACCCTCCGAGTCGCCCGGGAGTTTCTTTTAAAATACAGCCATTACCCCTGGTCCCGTGGAGATTCTGCCTCAGGCCGGGATGGGCCCTGAGAGGGGGTTTTGTTCTGTCAACGTTCGAGGTGATTTTGAAGGTTCGAGAAATCTGGGAAGTAGGGATTCAGCCTTCCTCAGTCCCAGCTTTCACAGGGTCGCCATGAACTTTAAATGAGAAAATACATCTGGGTTTTGTAAGCTTTACAGTGGCTTCAGCCACCGTAAAATATCTGTTGTTGATTAGGTTATTTCTTGAATGAACTGTTCTGTTCCTTTTTCAAAGGTTTCAATTTCTTTTCAGTTTGAAGCCTGCTTATATGAGAGCATATTATATTTGTTTGATTTTATGCATTCTGATAGCAAAGACAAAAGACAAAACTAATGAATTCTGTCTAATACACATAACATAAAATATAGGATTATTTGGATCATAGTTTTATTTTAGTTTTTTAATAACTGTTTAATTGCAACTTTAAAATAGCCATGTGCATATTAAAATATGTTAATAGTTTGTTCTCTTAGTAGTTTAATATGCCCATGAATTCTTACTTTTCCTGAACACATACTAAGTAAACATTTTAGGTTATACAAAGGTAAACTGACCCAATGAAATGTATCAAATTCCTAATTGTGATTGCACATGTTTTTCAAGAACTGTTTGAGTTGTCTCATTTTAGAAATGAACTTAGATGGTAGTTTTAGATGTTGAAGAAATGATAGAAAGTAGAAGACCCTTGCTTGAATTTTCGTTGAATCATAGGAATAAATGCCAGTTTAAAAATATATCAAGGAAAATGAAACAAACTGTTTCTGTATATTTTAATACAAAAACTCACATTTATTATTGGCACTTGATAATTTAATTTACAAATATATTCTGACTTCCCAGTTTTAAGAGCAATAGCTTAAGTTAATTAAATACATTGTTCTTTTCTTCATCTCTTTCAAGCCAAAGTAATCAAACAAACAAAACAACACCAAGAACAGGTTGTGTCAATAATAGCAATAGTGATTTCAAAAAAACAACAAACTTTTCAAATAGTCAACCAAATTAAGAGATTACAGCAGCTCAAGACAGTCCCTGTATAATAAAATGCGGCATGAATGTCAGCCAGCCTCGAAGCTTATAGCATGTCTCGGTCAGTTTCAAACACTTATTCACAGTGTCTGCGTACCCTTGTCAGTTCTGATGGGTTTTCTAGCTCATAGGTGCACTGTGTTTTAGAACCATACCAGCGTTCCTCCGTCCTTCCACTGCCTCTTACTTGTCACTTTGAGTGTCTTCAGCCTTGCGCCTGGATAACATCCATGTTGATCCACTGTGAGTCCTTTGTTCCTTCCCTGGGCTGGTCTACTCAGCCAAAACGGCCAAGTTGCTCACCCCGGGAGCCATCCAGGAACATTCCTTCTGTACTTGATACCATCTGTAATTCCCTCCCGCCAGGGAATGGTCACTTTAGACTGTTCGCCTGAAGGTCATTCAGAAGATTTAAATATATATTTGACTTGAGGAACCTGGGATAGGAGTCCTTTTCCATGAGAGTATATACAAGTTTTTGGGCTTCATCAAAACACGTGGGTGTCGGAGCTTTAATCTTCTTAGCTGTAGATTCTCGAGTGCGAAAATCAATATTGATCTGAAAAGGAAAGCCTTCTTAGTTAATATACACTTCCGATTTATTGTATATTTTGACATTATTGTAGGGTGTTTTTTTTTTTTTTTTTGAAGTACCTCAAGATAGTGCCTTTAATCCCTCCCTTAAATCAGTTCTCTCTTGAATGTCTGTTCAAAGCCAGACCTGTTCTAGGTGTGGAGGAGTTAAACAGAAATATTGCAAGGCAGTTTTTGTGCCCGGGTAGCTCATCATGTAGTTGGGCGATGCGACAGAGGCAGGCGTGGAAAATGTAAGGGCCCGTGCAAGACAACACATGCATCAGTAAAAAGTGATGTGGACATTTAAGATTTATAGGAGGACAGGGCACTTTGTTCAGCTATATTTGCTTGCACCAAAAATATTTAACTCAAAGGGGGACGCCGCTAATAACTGGAAATATTTTTGCTGCTGCATTGTATGCATCACACTAATCCGTGTGCGTTAAATCCTCATCCCAGATGAGCTAGCTCATTAGGAGCTTCCCAGTATGCAGTTCTGACCAGCAGCCCAGTGCTCTCTGCCCCAGCCCCATCACTTTAGCTGGTTCTGCCAAATCAATTTTTCATTCAATCTTTTCACAGATACAGGAAATTAGGTCATCGCTGCACTGAACTATATGAATACACCCAAATATTGAGCAGTGCAGTCGTACACTCAGAAAGGACTTCACCTTGCTATGTATGTACATAAACTGATGAAAATGGACTTAATACTCACTTGCTTAGCAGCGTCTGAATGCACAAATGCTTTGTATATTTTCTCTGCTTTGCAATGCAAAAGATCAGAGTCTGTTTTTTTATAGTCTTCACAAGCCAGCCAGAACTCAATATTCTCCTCACTGAACTCAGACTTTAGGAAACTTCCAAAAATGTCTTGACCAGCTGGAAAAAAAAAGGGGGGTGGTGGTGAGACACTTCCATTAACTGAACCAGTAAATGCACGACTCGAAGGGGACATTTGCAAGGAGATCCTGTTGGTTCTCTGTGTACAAAGGGGAGAAGGGGCTTTTGTGAAATAGCCCCGTCATAGCTTTTAGAAATGGAAAGGCATTAGAGATCCCTTCACTTAGAATTCACCTGGGGCCACACACAATTGTCTGCAGTCACTTAGCTGCTTAGCGGTGGCTACAAAATTGCACTTGGCTTCTATCTTATCCTTAATTGAAAATCCTGTCCTACTGGTTACAAAGCAATCACTTTTCTTTTATAGAATATCTTAGGGGAGCAAACGTTGACAAAGAACATTAACATCATGTTAATCACTAACAAATATAATTTCTCCATCCAACTTATTATTAGTCAGAAAATGTGAGGCCTACATATTATGAGCTGTGTGTGATATACTGAATGCATTTGTGAGTGTTACTAAGACTTTTAGATGGGCCATTTCTATATCGTTTATTTGTTTGGCTGAATTGTAAACTACTTTTGTGGCAAGTCTCCTTAAGGTGCTTCAGGGTGGGAGGAACTCACACTCTGAAGACAAACTTTTCATCTGCAACTCTGGACAAAGCCCTGGTCCCACGGAACTGCAGTGGCCGCAGGGAGGGTAGGGCGAGCCGCTTGCGTTCTTCACCTTCCCTCATCAGAAATGCCCCACAAGACTCTGGGTCTAAAAATGTTTTTTATCATGTCTGTGTTGTTCTGTGTCATGTTACACATGAGGCAGTTATACACTGTGTTTATCAGCTGCCTTCGGGGCCCATGGAGGAATGGTGAGCCCCCGGTGTGTCTCCCATGCCCGCCGCATGCCAGCAGCTGGAGGAGCGAGTAAGGGAGCTTGGGAATGATAAAGTAATCCATTGACTAAGTGACCCCTGCTCACAAGAATGCGTTCTTTAGGTAGCTTCCAGAACAGCAGCTACCGTCTGGAGAGGTTTGGTTTACTTTTAAGGACATCAAACCTCAGAACCCCAGCACATGTTTAAGCTTTCCTCCTCTAATGCCCCATCCGTGGACACATCTAATTGTCTTGGCAACTCTGTCCGTGGTAGGGTTGAGCGCTAAGCTGTCGTTGCGTGGCAGTGAGGCACAATGTGCTGAACTGTCCGGCCCTGCAGGAAAGCTGGAATGAAGCTTTCCACACACTGTCCCGCCCAGACCCCTGGATCTTAATGAAGCCATTCAGCCTGCTGGTGTATTCAGCTAAGCCCAGGCACCTTCAGCAGTTAATATGTACTCACTTTGGGTGGCAAGAAGTTTTTCCAGAGACTGAGACCACTGCATTACTTCATCAGCAGAGAGTCTGCAGGGGATGAGGTATACACAAATTAGTAAACTATGTTTTTCATAAGCACAAGTGAACACAGAATGGCTGTTTTATTTTGATAACTTTACAAACGAAGACTCTAGTCCTAAAAACCTTCATTAAAATTTATAAGAAAGCAAAGTTTCCCTTAGAATTACTGCTGAAATAAAATTTCATATAGAATTGCTATATGAAAATATCTGCCAATAAAATGTGAAAAAATCTAAGTACAGATGCTCCAGCAGTATAATAAATAGCAGATACATGCACCCACATGTTTGTGTTTAATTTACATTGGTACTAATGTGCTAATCTCCTTAAGCTTCTTACACAAAATAAATGATGTCCAATATGCACAGTATGAAGCTCTTACTAGAATCCAGAGCGAATGCATAGACTAGAATTTTATAATGATAGTTCAGTGTATTAGTGTACGTACATGTCCTTGGACTTAGAAGTCTTCATTCCAGATTCCAGATGTGGGATCATGGACTTCAAGTATGCTTTCACATCCATTCCGCTGCAAAAGACACAACAGTGAGTATTTCTACTTCCTCAGTAGAATGCATGTCATTGGTAAAAAAAAAAATGAAATGAAATAAAGAAGAGCCTGAAATAAACTCCTCCAAGGCACAAGGCAATAATAAATACAGCGAATGCAACTATGCTATATGAAGATCGAGCCAATTTGAGTCTGGAAAAATTCCCACCCCATTTACTGCCTGCTTTTGATTCACCTTTGTTAAAATGCAGCAGAATACACATAGAACTGCCCACAGGTAATTGTTCCAGTCTAGCTAAACTAAGCGCTTATGTTTTGTCCCGTTTACTCTCTCTCCTTCTGCCACAAAAGATAATCTCAGTCAGAACAGACCCAGTGAGGCACTGAAGGAACTTACAAGGTCTTTGGCCTCTTTTTTTGTGTTTTATCATCAAGAAGCGCACGGTCAGTTCCTTTCAGTTCCTTGGGAGTAGCAGAGAAGAGCATCCCTGGCATCTTGTCTAACCGTGGCATGGAGACAGCTGTTCCTCTCATGGTCCCCGCAGGGCGAATGTCTGCCCGTCACCGGCCTGCTGCTTTATATGGTGACGGCAGGCAGGCTCGCGCTGCTCAGTGAGTGTTTGTCAAGTGATGTTGCCACAGACACGGGAAGTTCCCCTTTCGCGCCTGGCTGTGACGTGTTAGCTTGAAAAAAAAAAGCATACAGTGATGTTTTGTGGTTGAAACTTAACCAAGTGAGACTAGTTGGCTTGATTAGAAAGAAAGAAAATGAAACACAGAGACCACACGTCTAAAGCTTTAGCAGCATCTGTATTTGGTTCTGGGGGATGCTGGTGTCTTCATAAAAACTGCATATTTCAGTAAAATGTCTCCCTCAGTATCTTTATTGTTAATCACATAGCAACTCAATAGTGGGAATGTATTCCCCCAATGCTTTGGCAGGTTCTTGACCATAAAATTCGTCTGATCACAGGAGTTTAAAAAGAGTTCTTGTTTTCTTTCTTTCTTTCTTTCAGGAAGCACTGTAAAGTAAACAAATCTTTTCTTGTTTGATTATTTGTGCATGTATCTGGCAGAAAAAAAGTTATGAGAGGTTAACTTAACTTCTCCCTATTCCAAGTCTCTTCCTTACTTTCATGGCAAGAAATTTCCATGCGAGGATTTTCCCAGGTGTGAGCTAGACTTTCTGCTGGTGATACACAAGATGATTTTAAGAGCTACCTAAATTTTCATATTTATAAGGAATATAAATAACCTATCATACTTTTTTGTAATTTCTGCTTAGGATAAGAATAAAGTAAAGTTTAAAAAACTGTAAACAAGTAAAAGTTAACACAAAAATATGATGTAATATGTAAATATGTTGATAGTAAAGAATTGCATCATATCAGAGGAAAAACTCCTCATGGTAAGACAAGAGTGTATTTGGACAGGCCAATGATGTATACATCTTCCAAATTTGGGCAGTGTCTCTGGAGATTAAAGTCCAGCTTTTATTAAGAGTAAGGATTTTTTTTTTTAATCCTAAGGAATTAGGTGACTAATCACTGATCAGGGTAGAGGGCTCTGTGAGCTCTTACAGAGCCTATATACAGACTGCGGTTTACTCGGAACATGCCCAGTTTAACTTAAATCCCCTTTGGGCTTTGCCCATGAAAAGACAGAATGGGTTTGCCGTAGAGAGGTGTCTGCTGGTACTGGGCAAAGCTGACAGAAGTCAGGAGAGCTTTTCTCTTCCTAACTTGGCTCTATCATCAGGATAGAAAATACGTAAAGGAATCACGTTCATGCTCTCTCAACACTCACCTCCTTCACAGCCATGGATATATATTGCATGCAGCAAGTGTGATTTGATGTTTGACAGGTAACATCGTGATGCATGGAGACAGGCAACTGGCGAGGTGAGCTGGCCACGTCGTGGTCCAGACAGAACTGATGGTGCTCAAAGACATTGACATAAAGAGCTTGTTTGTGTATGTCTCATGGTTCAGTCCATACTTAACTTTTGTTATTAAAATCTTGAGCATTGTTCATGATTATTTATCTAGCAGCTTCTCATTCCTCTAGATAATTGTGGGTATGGTAGAGGAGAAATGATTTACTGTTTATTTGGAATGGTCCACTATGATTATTATCATCCATGCACACTGACGATTTCCAAGGTATGTTTCCACAAAGTGAGTCCCTTGGTTGTCACCAAGCAGGATGGGGACTGCAACAGCCGCAGCAACAAAGGTGGTGTGGCCACACGAATTTGGGCGATGTTGGGTCAAAGATAAACAGGGTTCTTACATTGATCAATGCAGGTCTTCTGAGAGCCTTTCAGATGTGAAGAACACTTGTCAATGTCTAAAAGGAGGATAGCCGACGCAGCAGTTTCCTAAGATTTTTGAGACTTGAACCCTCGTTAAGTCAGGAAAACCATTTGCAGAAACAATGCTCCTTTGACATCACAGTGGGAAACTCTGGTCTGCCACAGAGAGAAACATTCACCTCTTAATGCCTTTGGACCTCCAGCATTTTGCTACCTCAGTATAAACTTTCAAGCTCAAGTGTTCGCAGGCAATGGCCATCGCGCGCTTCCAAGCCCAAACAGAGGATTCCACTGTGTATAGAGCAGGTCCGCCTGAAATTCCTGCGTCACGATTGGCTGTGGAAGCCACCTCAATGGCACAGTAACATAGCTGTCCTCGCAAAGGCTGCTTGCTGGGACATGCAGAGCTGTCTGTGCGGGAGCTAGGCAAATCTGGGGGAGCCGCATTTGCAAGGGTTGGTGAGTCCATGACAAGGCATTAACGGGTTCCTTTCCATTGCAGGCAGAATGTCCCCATCTGTCTCCACTTTGTGAAATCCATTAAGAAAAGACAAACGATCAAAGAGTCCCTTTACAGAGTCAGTGGCTTCAGTTGATATTGGAGAGGATTTAGTACAGGCTGATAGAAGAAACAGTGGCCCTCAGAAACATAACCTGGTTTGTGTGTTTCCTCTGTGAAATTGCGCTCAAGGAACCAGGTGAGAATTTTAAGGAAATGGGGTACTTCATGTGGTCGCAGTGTCATCATTTTATTTAAAAAAATAATACACGGTCACTTTTAGAGCAGTCTTTAGGTTTACGTCAAAGTTGAGCAGAAAGTACCGAGAGCCCCCACGCAGGCCTCCCACCCCAGCCTCCCTGCCATCCACATCCCGCATCGGGGCGCGGCATTAGTCGCAGCTGGTGTTGAACCTGCACTGACGCATCGCCATCACCCCGAGTCCTTAGTTTACGTGGGGACTCACTCTTGGTGTTGTACGTTCTATAGCTTTTGACAAATGTATAATTAATGACGCGTGTCCACCATTATAGTATCATGCGGAATAGTTTCCCTGCCCCCCAAATCCCAGTGCTGTGTTTTAAAATGTCTAGGAGATCGGTTCAGTGACAATTTCTGATTATGGCTATTAATTTGATGGGGAAAATTTTAATCTTTGCTGATTCGACTTTACATTTTGGTTCCAATCCCTCCAACTGTCTGAATCCCATTAGGGAGCACTTTTTGAATGTTTTTGTCATTAATATTGACTAACGTGATGTTGAGCCTTCATAGTACTGCTGAAAGTTTGTTGTGGACATTAGGAATTTGGGGGAAAAGGAGAATAATAAGTACAAAATTGTATCTTTTAAAACATTATTGGCTTGCATTTTTTATGTTTTTATTCCACTACTTGGGGAGATATTGGTTAGTAACATCGAATTTCAAGCGGAGCAGTTTATACCATGACGTCTGAAGGCTCTCGTGTGCTTGTCCCCCGAGGTCTGTGCTCCCCCCACCGTCAGCCGTTAGACCCTTGTGCTCTCCGTCGCCCCTCGCGCCCGTCCCCGCGGGCAGTCACCGTTCGCTTGTCTTCATGTGTGCGTTTGTGTTTTGTTTGTATATGTTATTTGTTCAAATTGTTACTTTCTGTTTTATATCCCACATATGTGTGAAATCTTATGGTTCTTGTCCTTTTCCGTATGACTTATTTTACTTAACATACTACTCTCCAGATCTATTCGTGATGTTGCAAATGACACTATTCATCTTTTTTTTATGGCTGGGTAATATTCCCTTGTATGTATGTCCTACATATTCTTTATCTGTTCATCTGTCAAAGGGCTCTTAGGTTGTTTTCATGTCTTGGCAATGGTGAACAATGCTGTAATGAACATAAGGGTGCATGTATCTTTATGAATAAGTGTTTTCAAATTATTTGGGTAGATATCCAGAAGAAGGATCACTGGATTATATGGTAGCTCCTTCTTCATTTTTCTGATGAACCTTCATATAGTTTTCCATAGAAGATGCACCAATTTATACACCCCCCTGCAGCATACAAGTGTTCCCTTTTCCCCATGTTCTCTCCGAAACTTGTTATTTCTTGTCTTATTGATAACATCCATTCTAACAGGTGTGAGGTGATATCTCATTGTGGTTTTGATTTGCATTTCCCTTATAGCTGGTGAAGTTGAGCATCCTTCATATATCTGTTGGCCATCTGTGTGTCTTTTTTGGAAAATTGTCTCTCCAGATCCTCTCCCCACAAGACTATATCTTGAAAATATTAATAAAAATATATTTATACCATAAGACTCAGTGATATGAGCAGAAATTTTAACCCATAGAAACAAAATGCCTTGATTGAACAAACTTTACTTGGAGGCCTACCATGTATCAGATGTAAGTACTACAAATGGGAAAATGAATGGAATCTGCCCTAAGGGGTTCACAGGGTAGCGAACAGAAGGATATTTAAGAGAGCGACCAGAGTGAAGAATGCCACCAAAGAGGAAGGTGTAAGGAGTGACTAACTCTGGAAGTGTGCCTTGGAAGTGCTGTTAGCATTTACTAGAAAATCAACATGAATCTATTCTCTGCCTGTTTCTGCTTTTGAGATCAACACTCCTTGGAAAGTACAAGACACTGCAAGAAGAGAAATTGGTGTTCACCAAGTAGAGACCTCAACATGCATAAAAGCCATGGAAGAATGAACCCTGTATATAACCAGAAAGCTTTGTGGGGTACAGCAGAGGCTCTGAAAGACTTCGCTACATTAGCATAACCACTCAATACTGTTCCAGCTACAGTTCATAGAGTTTATTTGAAAAGCTTCCACCAAGACATGTGGAAAGCCTTTTCCATGTCCAGGTAGAGGGTCTGTGGGGACATTGATGCTGGCTTTATGTTACTTACGAATAAAAGGTTTAAACATTTTAGATGTGCTTATGATTTTATTTTCTAAAGGAAGAAATCAACTCATAAGTTTTAGGGAAGAAAAGAGACTTGCAATTTCCTGAAATGAAATGATCTCAGTAGATGCACACTGAACAAGATAAAAATCTAGTTTCTTTTTCCCATACTGTTCTAATCTACTTATAGTCAACACCAACACCCTCTTTCTATAATTTAAGAGATGGTAAGAAAAGCAGGCTTCAGTGAACTGGGTTCTCGTGATTCTAGAAACCTATTCACCCTCATCTCATTGCACCAGTAAATTTCCCATTAGTAGGCCCATCTTCGAAGTTACTCTTGAAAGTACTGGAGAGGTCTTTGATTAACATTC